TTGGGACTAACATACGTTGGATAGCCAGACGTCGACAAGGTGACATTAGTTCGGTTTCTGAGCAGGTATGGGACATTGGTAGAATAAGGCACGTCAAGATTCATTACATTTCTTGTTCTATTCATTTTGCTCATAGTTTTAAGTGGAGTTTCGCAGGAAGCAAGTTCGAGTTCGCAGATCACACTTTCCTGTTTGTTATCCATTACTATGACACACAGTGGCCTCGGGACATCACCCAGGGCACAGCCAGCGTTCGTTCGATCGCCAGTTGACATTACTTATCTCTGTGATATTCACAGGCTGCCAAAGGCTGCCACATTCGCTGGTTAATGAGAGGTTCGGGCCTCCACTCGTAATCTTTGGCCTGATATGCCAGCCCAGTTTCTCTCCTGTACCCTACATTGGGTTGATAATATGAAGTCCAAAGGTTCATAGCTCTTCCTTCTTTACTTCCATCTCTCTCTCTCCTCTGGAGTAATCTTTCAATCTCTTCAGCCTCACCTTCAGTATATTCAGTATGGGCGGCCCTACGATTAACTAAACTACCGGTTTTTAACATAGCTCTCAGAACAACTTTTTAAAATAGCTCACAGGGGTACTCAAGCTCCACCACCAACTACAAGGTCGTGTACTCCCTAGATGGAGTTGTTGTTATTATTATTATTATTATTATTATTATTATTATAAAAAGTATTTGAAGATGCCACACCTTTTCGCAAATACGTACAGGGAGTTTAATACATATATTTGTGGGATGAATTGAAGCGAAATGAACATAATTTGTCCTACCATTTTGTGAGATTACATTACCCCTTCTTTTTTATGCTTCACTTTTTTCTTTTTTTCTACAGATTTTAAAAGATGGGACAGGAAAATGTATTCTTTAACATCTTTTTAAAAATCAGTGAATCTGAAGTTAACAATATTAAATAAAAATTAAAATAATATTTACGTTCACCATCAGTAATACATATCCTAGAAACAATGGCCAATCTGCATATATGAATACGTAAGCTTCCGCGGCTCGAATCCATGAATTCTCGGCTATCCGGGAGACGCCGCGTCGTTGGCTGGGGTGCCGACGTTTCGCCTGACATGTCGCAGGCTTCCTCAGGGGCAGTGACGCGAGGAAGCCTGCGACATGTCAGGCGAAACGTCGGCACCCCAGCCAACGATGCGGCGTCTCCCGGATAGCCGAGAATTCCTGCATATATGAATTCAAATTTATACTGCAATATTTCTAACTCTGCCCCTCAAGGCCCTACGTCACGGTGTCATTATGTCTTTTTTCACGTCTTTCTCCGTCGGTCCGCTAGATGTTAATTTTTTAAAGAGACAATAGGAGAAGTTGAGGCCAAGATTTCAGCTTACTCCACACATTCATCGCTCATGGTTATAACTCCAAATTAATTCTGCCAATACAAGTGTTTTAGATATTCTAAATACATTGAAAAGGTAATTGAGAAAATAGATATGAAAGTAAACATTTTTCACTCTTAGGAAATATTGAGAAGGGCCAGAATCGACGTCACAGATTTCTGATGAAATAGAAAAAGCTTTTTAAGTTTTAAGTTGAAAAATCTATTTGTTTTGTAAAAAATTTGAAAATGTATTGAAATTGAAAAAAAAACGGAGATAATTTTTCAAAAATTGGAGACCGGAGATGAAGCTCAAAAACAGGAGTCTCCGGTCTAAACCTAGCAAATTGACTCTTTGACGTTAGGAACATACCTACAACAATGAGTGCTTGTGCTACTAACAACAATGAGTGCTTTATACAACAGCTATAAAGCTCAAATTGACTCTTCGTTTTAGAAAACATTTGCATGGGAAAAAGAAAAAGGCTGTTTTTAGTGTTTTTCGGCAATTATTCGAATTTTTCTCGACGTAAAAATCATCCCTGAACTTCAACGAATATTTAAAAAAAAGAATTACCCAAATTGGTCCAGGCGTTGTTGAGTTATGCGCTTACCAACACATTTTGCGATTCATTTTTATATTATAGATGTATATCTGTGCTTCGGATTCTTTAATAATTAAAATAAAGTTAATTTTTCACAATCTTTATGATAATAAATATAAAATAATGTACTCGAAATTTGTGTGTCTGACTGTTGTGAGCGAGTTGTGTACTGCGAACTTAAACATCTCTCTTCCTCCGTTTCGCAGGTAACCTTGCAGATAGCAGCTAGTTTCCAAGTTTGGGAAGTTTGCTTAAAAAATATTTATTTTTTTTATCCTTTTTGTGTTTTTTTATCCTGTTGCCTTTAGAATGTATATGCATCAATGTGATTTTTTCTTTCATTTTCATCTTTTGGAAGACGAAGGTTCACACTCGATGCGCAGAGTCGCACACGATGAGTCCGTGCGGCTTCATCGATCCCGCAATACGCATCGTGTTACGAAAACTACAAGGATTTTCGTCGTTTTCAGGTTACGTTTAGCTTGAAACAATGCCGTTTGTTCAGGAATGCCAGATGTGTTGCGAGCTCTTTCCCCACCACTCGACATTTTCCCAAATAACCTCTTCAATGAAACAAAATTCTCCAACTTGAAACGAACAATATGCAACAAGTTATGAACCAACGACAGGAGCTGCCCCTGTCTATTTCATTGGCATTCACGTTAAATTCAAAACATTCAAATCAACCAATCGTCTTTTGAGCTGCTCAAAGCCCAATACGTTCTTCGTTTTTCTCATGCTTTTCTTTCTCAATCCTTGTTTCTTTTTCGCTTTTTGATACATAACTAGCGGTGCTTCAGAACGACACAAACTTTCCCTTATTAGTTTTCTATTTCCTTTGGTCTAGATTAGCTATATCAACTTGCCAAGTACATCTATCAAATTCCTAAACTGTCAAACTTCGTACTATTGCAATTTTCTTTGAAAATTTTGCAGCCGTGTGAAAATGGCGCTTAAGCACTTCTGTAAATTCGAAATTTGAAACTCTTTTTTTTTTATCACAGATACTTTTGCGTTTTCGAAAAACTTCATTTGAAGCACTTCAACTCATAAATACAACAGTATTTACAAATTGCTGAAAATGTTTATATTAACGATATGAGAGAACTTACAAAAAATTACATTTGTGTAATTTTTTAAAAAACAAATACCCCAAAATGAACTGTCATATTAAAGAGTGCAATATTAGCACTATCCGTTCGAAAATTTTGAAGAAAAAAAACGAAGCTATTGTTTTTGTTTTTTGTTGTTTTTTTTTAGAAAATAGCGTTTGAACATTTCTGACAATGCGGAATTTTGAGGTTTGTCACAGAAAACGGTTAAAGTTTTCGAGAAATTTTATGTAACATTATTTAAAACACATGTACATAAATACAATAATGTGAACAAATTGCCGCTTATATAAATATTATTGATTTCAAGCAGTAAAAAAAATTGTAATTTTTGAAAAAAACTACTAAAGAATAGAGCAATATGCCATTTATGACATCTTATAGAGTACATGTCGCACTGTCCCTACCAGAAGAGAAAATTTGGAACAATTTTTGAAAAAATCTTGTTTTTGTAATTTTTTTAAAATTTCACATATTGCGCGAAAACTTGTAAAATTTTCAAAAAATGTACATGACTTTAATGAAAGAATTCACTATGGAGAATACATTTTCTTTGGAGGAAAAATATCTATTTTTCATTTTGTTGTGGTATGATGACGCCCAAAAAATTATGAAATTTTTGGAAATTCAACAGTCAAACCTGAAAGTCAGATCTATTCCACTTTTATTAGTGTATGTTACTCTATGGATTTTGAAAATGGTCAGGGGACTTTATGTAAAGTATTCTTTTCAAAGCTTCGGATCGAACCAGATGTTATTCTTCAATTTGGAAAAAAGTCGTTTGTATAGTTTAGGTGCTAGTGGTGTTCACAGATGGAAGAAAAAAACTCTCTTTCAGCGTCAGGATACCCGTGTATTTCCGTTGAAGTCTCGAAATCGGTTTTCACAGTATTATATAACTTTTCCTATACTGTTTATAATACTCCATTTATACGTACGTATGTGGGAAAGTAAAAATGAGAGAGAACTAACTTTATTGGTTGTTGTTGTTGTTTTTTGGTATAATAATTGAGAAAATATTTCTATCGTGACTCTGGATGAGAATAATTTCCCCAAAAATTCTCCTGTACAGTTCCCCATTATGTGTTCCATTCTTTCCCTACAATGTAAAAAAAAACATTTTGAGGACAAAATTCCCCAATCTGGCAACTATTCATTTGTTTAAGATTCTCATTGCCAGCCAATTAAAAAATAACGGTCTAGTTCACCCAATTCAATTCATGATGGGTGCCAAAAATATGACCACAAGTATAATTAAATGTATTATAGGTTTGCTTGATACTTTTATCTTCATCGCAGTCTAGTGTTACATCAGCATTTATAAGTCTAGTGTCATGAAAAGGCAATGTTACCTCCTAATCGACTAGGCTTAGTCAGCTAATGTAAGATGACCCTGCATTTTTTGAATGAGATGTTTAGGAAAGAACCTTGTCCTGTTTTTGGGTAAATAGAACCTATGTATAATTGATGACTTAGATTCATTTTCAGTTTAAAAAAAGTTGCTTTTAATGGAAATAGAGAGTTTAGAACTTATAAGCCAAAATATATGTCTTGGGACCATAGTCCATTTGTGTACATTATAAAACATGAAGGTAGTGCATGTCCTTTGTGTACTTATGTTATGTATTCATGTCACACAACTCACCTGCATGTTTACTCTGTTTTACAATAGAAAACCATTTTCCAAATCAGCAAATGTGACCTTTGTTACATAATACAAATGTCTATTATTGCATGGCTATTTACTACTTTTTACTGTTAATAAACTGGAAAAAAGTTGATAAACCTTCATTTCTACCTAGTTGAAAAAATTTGAAAGTTGAATTTACTTCTTAAATCCCTTATTTTCAATTATTGTTGTTATGTAATTGTATTAATTATGTGTAAGTGCGTACAAAAGTTTATTACAGTTTGTTTTTTTTCAGCTGACAAATCGAAGTGTGGGACGAGTTGCAGCAGATATTTTGTTGCTCCTTTGTGACCATGCAAATTCATTAGTGGAATGTTATCCTGACCTTCCTCCACGAATCATTGAGGTTCGTAACTATATATCTTTAATCTACATTATAAATACAATGAAATATAAGTTCTTGATCTAGGAAACATATTTGTATGATCGGGATGGCAATGAAAGATAGAAATTCACTATTCCTTCTATGTTAATAAGTTTGTGTCATTTCACCATCCTGAAAATGTTATTTACTAATAAAGATGTGCAACAAAGCATGATGCACAAGAGAGTCAAACCTGTAAAACAAATTCCTGAACAAAGTTGTTGAGTCAGTGAAATCTAAAAAACTCTATTGCCGCTGTTTCATATAGGAAACTAATAATAGGATAATTAAGGAAATTTGTGATAAGTACTCCATGATATTAGAAATATATTGAACTCTGTGGGATTAATTCATCTGGGATCCAGGTGGTAAAGCCAGGCCGAAAACCTCTGAATTCAAAGAAAATATATGCACATTTACTTTCATGCCCTACAAATTTTTCATGAGAAGAGAAAGTAATGTAACCGTGCATCAGAAAAGGCCAAAATTCACAAAAAAAGTATTGCTGGGTTCTAGTAAGGAAGAAGTGGATAAATCCTGTTGCTAAATTTAGAGAAAAATATCCTCTAACTCGTGGTGTAGCTTGAATCCGTGTTTTATTGATTCTTTGTATCGCAAAATTGTTTGTCTGTCTGTTGTCAATGTTAGGGCCTATACTGTTCAGCCAATTTTCTTCAAAATTGATATTCCTCAATTGATCATGAAGCTTTAAACATATTTCCTCAAAAATGGCTCCAAATTTTTTGATTAAACTTTGTGGTTTGATGCTGCAAAGGACGTTTAAGAGAATAGTTTAGAACTCATTTTTGCTGACATCCCAGATTTTTCAAAATAGCAAAAAGAAAGTTTTAAAACTACAAAATTGAAGATAGAGGTTTTTGGTTCAGACTGTCTGTTGTACAAAATTAGGGCATTAAAGAATGTTGTTTTTTTTTTGTAAAAGTTAGAAGTTTTTGAGAAATTTGCGCATGCAATGTACGTTTTGGTTTATTCTCAAACTCTGCTCAAAATTTTAAAAAATTAAAAAGACTGTGAAAGTGCGCATTTCTAACTGCTCCTTTCTGTTAAGTCTGTGAGAGAACTGGAGCTAGTTACAAGAAATGTATGTCAACTATCAAAAAAGGGGAAGGGGGGTGAATAAGAAATAAATAATTTTGATTTTCATTGTTAAAATGTAATACTAATTTGTTGTAAATTCTGGTGAAGGAATTGGATTCTATCATGGTATTCAAGATTTGATTAAGTGTTATATGCAAAGTCTCTGACACAATTTTTGTGTCCGTCTGCAATTCATGCTCTAGAATCATGACTTGCTCAAAATCCATGATATACCCTGTTTCAAGTTTCGATACCAAGTGGAGCTTTTGAAATGGTTCCTTTATGTTCTTTTTATGTTTGCATACTCTTTGTTTAAGTTTTCTTTGGGTTTGACCAATGTTTTTCCATTTTGCCAATCTTATCTGTGTTTTTGTGTCCACTGAACTGGCCTTCAGCTGTCAGTGCATTAAAGATTAATGTGTTTTGTTCCCAGAATATTGTAGAATGTTTTGAGAATTCTTTGAATCTCATTGTATCGCAATTAAACATAACAAAGTAATTGTACTTGTTCTGTAATCAGGTGGCAGCATTGACATTGGCACAGTTAGCTCCTACTGGAGATAGACACCTACTCACCTCCCTGATGTTTTGTTTGGGAGAATGGTGTATGCAGGTACCAATACGTGTGCTGACAGAGCCTTATAATCAGTCTCAGAAGGCACCTTGTTTGCTTCAGACGGTCTTTAGTGTAAGTGAAAAAAATAAATATATATATACTGCTTCATTATTTTTCTTTGATATGACTTACACATATTTCTTTGGAAACTATTAAGAATTAATTGTAAAATGTATATAATCAAATTTGCATGCACAATTTCTTTCTTTGAAATAAAAGGTGCTTCTACTACAGCAGAACCTCACTAAGCCAAACCCTGCGAATCCGAAATTTTGGATAATCCGAACAAAATTCGGGATGGAGGAAAAATAAACGAAATAAATAAAATGTTTATTTATAGTGTAAAGAGAGCATTTTATAATTACTGTAGAACTGAATAACAAATTATTAAAATACATGTTTATATAGCAGTAATTTTCACTTAGAGGCACTTGCTAAATCAGTAATCTTCTTGTGCTGTAAGGAACTGAATCTACTTGATGATGCAATTGCTAAGCTACTTTTCTATTTTCTTACATCGCATGCTATGTTGAATTGTCTGGTTATTATATAGATTATATAGATATATTTGTATATATGTCGTACATTTTTTGCATAATCTGGACAGATCACAAGATGACACCCTCCAGTGAGTTCAGGGTTTACCAGGGTTCTACTGTATTAACAAAAATATGTAAACGTTATATATATATATATATATATATATATATATATATATATATATATATATATATAGTATTATAAAATTGAGATTACTCATATAATAATTAAATATGGAAAGGCAGGCTTGGGTAAAAATTTTTTGAGTAACATCATTAATTGGATTGTTGTGAAGTAGATACGTTTTTTATGTTTGATATATAGAATAGAGATATTGTCAGGTTCAATATTTTTAATTCCACTAATGATATATTTCGATCGCGTAGCGATCATCCTCAGAGCTAAAAACAATACAAATATAAATGTGAAATATTACAGGTTGAGTTATTGTATTACAGATCGTAAGCAACTGGATAGTAATACTTGCACTTTGGCCGAAACAAAGTTCTGCGATTTTGAGAGTGTGTTTGTTTAAGAGCAACCGGATGGCAGCGGGAGGGGCGGGAAGACGGTGGGGGTTGAGGGTGAGGGTCGTAAATGTGGGGGTGCTGTGGACTGCTTAGAGACGGTCGGGGGAGAGGGCCGAACAGGTTAGTGGGGTGGGGAGGGTGGGGGGGGTTAAGGGGTGTACACTTTGTGCTAATGTTTAGGCAGAGGTGAAAGAGAGTTCAGGGATCTGTTGGTTACAGACATGTATGTTCTGTTTTTTTGAGGGTGTTGTGTACTGTTGTAGGATTCTAATTTGATTCTGGTCCAGTCTGTTTCTAATTTGGTAGAATTCGGATTTATGTGTTTATCAATGTGTGTTTGTTTATTTAGGTGATCGCAAAGTGTAGAGACTGTGGTAGTGTTATTTTTCATGCTTGTTCGTGTTCTTTGATTCTCTGTGTGAATTTACGGCCTGTTTGTCCTTGTAATAGTGGCATTGCGAATTGTTGCACGTGAGGCATAGACTGATTAAGGATGTAGGTGGATTGTTGTCTTTGTGTTGCATAGGTGGTTTTTTGGTATAATGTATGAGTGTTTGTTGATAAGAAGTTTTTTAAGACGAATTTATTGAGTTGTGGAGGTATTTTTAGAGAAGGTCATATATAAGGGATTATTGTGAGGTATTGGCTGTAGTGTTATGTCAATTGGTGTGAGAGTAGTGTGTTGCGGATATTGAGTGTATTTGTTTGTTTTGTTTTTTTTTTTTTTTTTTTTTTTTTTTTTTTTTTTTTTTTTCTATTAATTTGTCCCATCTGTTGCAGTCTGTATCATTCGTTCTGGCTATATGTTTTTAATTGTGTTTGTTTCTTTTTTGTGTTTTCTGGGGACATAGGTATGGAAATTAATCGATGCCATAGATGGAAGGTGCATGTTTGTGTGTGGGGGGATGTTGTGAGTGTTGTGTATGATTGGTGTCCGTCGTGTGTTTCTGCTTTTATGTTAAATTCAATGATGGTTTGTGTAGCGTATGGTGAGATAGGAGTTAAAGGATTTTTGTTCTGCTCTATCTCCGTGGGAATTATTATGTTGGGGTGTAGGGAGTTATGTAACGTGTAAAATATAAGTTGTCTGGTGGTGCTGTCCATAGTGCTAACACGTCGTCTACTATTGTGCAGTACAAGGAGATTGTTTAGAAGTGGTGACGCAGAAGTAAACAATTGTATTTGTTCCCCCAGTTGTCCCATAATATGTCAGCTAATAAAGGTGAGCTCACCTTTATTAGCTGACATATTTATGGACAACTGGGAAGGATAGATCAAAAGACTTATCAGTGTAAATTAAGACATTAAAACAAAAGTTTACCAACCTTTCGGAATATTTTTATTCCATCCTCAGGGCTGGTGGTAACACACAAAATGTATAATAAGCACAATAACACTGTAGATACACTAATGGCAATTACAACATACTATCAATCTATACAGAATGACCACAAACTGTACTAACCTTACTACAAGATATACCTATGGTTACAAACTCTCAAAAACATTATGTTGGAGCCTTGCCACTATGTTTTTGGGAGGCTGTAGCCAATAGTAAGGTTAGTAGTTTGTGATAATTATGTATACTATGCTAGATAGTTGTAATTGACATTTGTGTATGTATACGGTTATTGTGCTTATATTTTTTTATTTTATACCACCAGCTATGAAGAAGGAAAGAAAACCTTCTGAAATGTTGGCAAAAAAATGTCTTATTTCACACTGACTAAATCCTGTGATCTGCATTTTTTCATTTCTACTTCACAACTGTGAATCTACAATAGTTCAGTCTTATTGGCCTACTCATTATGAATAATCATTAATCTCTCTTGCCAGGTTTTATGCCAGTTGCAATCAGGAAGCTCAACAATGGATGCAGGAACGACGACTGGACTCTTTCCTCCCGAGTACATGCAAGACTTTGAGCCAAGCATCCAAGTTGATAACCTGCGAGAAGCCTCAGAAGGACCAGTGGCCCCACCTGCTGGCTTGTCTGTGAAACTGGCAGCACGCATGGTGTGTGGCAACATTTTTATGCATAAGTGCAACAAACATTGCATAAGGGAACTAATAATATCTTCTGATGATTCACTTAATATTTAATATTTTATCTTCATAAAAAGTTTTTTACAGCAGACAAAATTAATTAGAACCGTATTCTGCTAATTCATAATGTTCACCCTTTATAAGTTGATCTACGTAATTTACCTAGGCATTTTTAATTTATGCTTGTCTTTCTAATATTATTTCATATTTTGATAATTTGTGAATCTTGATGAGCTCATATTTTATTGGCAGTATAAATAAGTTGAAATGACTGAATTTCCAGTTTTTCTCTAATTTTCCTTCGTACAAAAAATGAGATATTAGTTTCTTCACTGAAATAATGGAAGGTTATTTCATTTTTGTTTTTATCTTTTATAATCTTATGTACAATTTTTTACATGTCTTATGTATATGATTAAAATTTTTTACTTAAGTGTTATTTGTACGATTGAGCTTGTATGGACCTTTCTCTATCTTTCACTTCGATTCAGTTCATTGTGTTTACATATTTCATATTTATTGCACCAGTACAATATATATGCCACTTGTCTACTGATTTGTTAGTTTAGTGAGAAAGCATAATTGAAAGCAATTAAAAGAACTTCAATCAAATTAATTTCTTGATAGCCCTAATTTGAAGTTGGATTGTGTAAGGTTTTCTTAGGTTCCGGATAAGGACATATAATTAGATATTAAATCTTAATAGTTTGTCAATGAATTTTTTGAAATTGTTATTATCATTATGTTTGCATTTTTTGCAGGTTGTAATGCACTTAGTAAACCATCTTGGCCATTTTCCGATGGGCATTGGGGCCGCACGCCTTTCCTCTCTTGTAGTGGAACATGATGATGTACCTGGATTAGTTGCTGACGAACTCAGTGCAGAAGTGTTTGCTGCCCCAAATATTCAGGTGTGAACTTAAATCCTAATAATTTATATATCATCGTCGACATCTTCATCATCTTTGTTCATTTTACGTTAACTTAACCTATCGGGTATCAGCGGAAACTCCTTGTCTTTGGTTAATAACATTGCCATTTTACACCCTAGCACCCTATGACTAGCCCCCACTCCATAACTCTATTGTGACCTTTAAGCTTATTGTAGCAAAGAGCTTCCTCCTGCCACTTGGGGTTCATAATCTCTTGGCAGTGTTTGAATCCGAATAGTACTAGGGAGGGTTGGTGGGGAGCACTCACATTGTGGTCGCTAAGGGGGGCCAGAATGGGCAAAAATGATGAAAATATTATTTTTTACTTTTTTGAGTCATTAATTAATTTATAGTTTTCTACGTTAATAAGCCTGATTTCATCTTAATATGCCATATCTAAGTATTTTTTTAAAGTTTTCACTTTGTGGCTTGGAAGTGGGCTTGGCTGTTTTGACACATTACGGGTTTTGATTGAACATTTCTCTCTGCTTTTGTTGTGAGAAATAGTTAATGCTTTGCTTTCTTGTGCTGGACACTCAATTGTTTATGATAACAATTGAGGCTAGAATAACATTAAAATATCTGCTTGTTTGTGTTTGCTCAGCATATTGATCAGGAATGCTGTGAAAACTTTAAGATCCATTTCCTGTAAGTTTCTTCTTAGGGAAACATTTTCTCAAAAACTATAAATTGAAAGATGCTTAAATTTTAACAAATCATGTAGCACATCAGTATATATACTTTAACGAGGCAGATTTATAAAATGCTAAATACTTTAGACAATATTCTTACGAATGCTAGTATTTTTAACATTAAAACTGATTGCAAGAGACAAAAATTTATATTTAACTGGTGGTGCTAAAACAACATCTACTTTTTCCTTGCATTTTCTTGCAAAATTATAGAAAAAGTACTCAAATTTTCAAAAAATTGTACATGACCTTACGTCAAATTGTATTTTTAAGGTTAACAGAAATAAGTAGAGAAAGACTGTAAGCTATTCTTGGAAAAAATGTTTGAAATTAAACCAGTACTGGCAGCCAACGTCTGTTTAAAAATCTTCTATTATAAATTCATCAATTAACTTTGTTCATTTCTTTCAAGTTTTTCCTTTTGGGAGTGTTACTTAGTAATGGCTTTTAACCTAACAATGGATGGATTGGGTCTGTGAGACACACAATATAACAAAAACTTCAGCCAATCACATACAGTTATCATCAGAAGCCTGTTCGTCTTTCTGCCTTTATTTTTTTTTCAAATGTAACATTCAGTTTGACGGTTATTGCCATATAGGTTGTGTATGTGATCATATGAATAATTTGTTTCGTGCTTGGTCTCTCAGACTCAATCCATCCATTTGTGTAACTGTAATCAAGAAGGTAAGTATTTGTATTTTTAGAATAATTTATTATTGCAATGTAGGTAATATTATTTTTTTATGTGTTACATTACATGTAACTAAAGTCAAATTGAACTGTAATTTTAGAAATGAGACAAACTTTCCAGTGGAATGACGAAGATGGTATTAGGGATGCCTTATTGTTATCCTTAAATTTACCAAACATTTTTTAATAAGGATAATACATAATATATTAACAAAAATGTTTTCTTATATACTAAACTAACATAATGAAGTCCTCTAACAATGCTTTAAACAAAATATTTCCTATACAATTCTTGTTTTTAAACCCAGGTCCTTTAGGCCCAGCCCATCTGTTTGTGTTACATTTATTCACCTATCTATTGCCGGGTTAAATAATAAAAGGTGATAGTAATGAATAGAGGGTGAATTTTAATAAAATGTCCACTTTAGAACAATACTGTTTTGTATAGAAAGTAATTTTATGTTATAACGAAAGGAAATGACCCATTCTCAAATGTCATTTTTTTGCATTTTTCATCGATTTCATTTAACAAGTCTTTTTACCTTTTTCCAGCATTTTTAATGCATTTTTGCTTTCTTTATCAATTTAAATATTTATATCGTATTTCCTTCAAATAATATTTACAAGATACAACAAATGTTCTCCCCAGAATTCCTAACAAGTCTATATAATTTCTTCACTCAAAATTTGTAATGTCAGCCGTTTTGAGTATTTAATTAAAGGTCTGTATAAAATTAGAATGTAGTTCACATTTCGAGGTCACGTGATGACGCCAGCACAGGAAACTAGGGAACAGTGAATCTGAAGTTTCCACATTTGCACATTGTTGTCACCTAAAATTAGGGAACAAATGTTACAAACATACGGCACGATAGAATGGATGAATACCAGAACGGTATAAGTAACATTTTATAAATTCTGATAATTTATTTAGCTATATTTCAGTGGCAATGTATTTTTGTGGTTTTAATGAACAACTGAAATGGTATGGTTTTAATAATGAAACAAAGCACCACAACTTAACAGTAATATTCATGTAAAGAGATTTCTGGGAATTTATAAAATGTCACTTCTACTGTTCTGGTTTTTACCCATTCAAATGTAATAAATTTTACAAACAAACTTATGAGTTCCTCAACATTCCTTTCTTCTGTTTGCCTAGTTAGTATTGAGAGCACATGCTAGAGCGTGCATGTGGCAACGCAGCCCCCTTTCACACCGAAATGTTTATAATATAAGGCTCGTGTGACACCTATCAGTACCATCGGTACAGTCGGTTCAGCTATTTCGGAATAACTAAAGACAAATTTCCAAGTAAAGAACACTCCAAACCAAAAGATTGCCAGCGGAGTTCACTTGAATGAATGGATAAAGCCTTGATTACATCCATATATTACATCCTTCCCACCATGATTACATCAGTAATATATCCACCAGCTTGAGTTGTTTATCTGGACATGTTTTGATCACATTTTTTGTGTCATTTTTCTGTCTTCTTTTTTTTAGGGCATTTTTAAAACACTTTAAGATAGTTTCATAAATCAGTTTTGGCGATGTTTTAGGCCATCAAAATTCGTCCCATAGTAATTACTCTTCTTTTTATATATTTTTGGTTGTTTTTTTGTTTTTTTTACAGCTCTTTGTAGTTAGTGACCACTTATTGGTCTCTCTTGTCGAATTGCCAGCACTAGAAGTTCCAGGAGGCGGAGTTACAGCTGGATTGTGTACTGCACCGTCTCAGGTGCGTGTGTTGTTGCGAGATCTCAGTGGCAAAGCTTGTTGGGATGCTTCAATTCTTCACTGCAGCCCTGAAGATGCTCCACGACCTTCATGTCAACAGGCGAGGGGTGAGGATGTCAAAATTTGTTACAATTTATTCTGTGTGCAGTAACCCATTTCTACCCAATGATATTTATAAACAAAACTATTTTGATCCTTTTTTCCATTTAATAAAATCGGAATGAATATTTGTCAATTAAATATTTAATATTAACAAATAGTTGAAATTTCAAAATCGATTTACCGTAGCATTACATATTCTTTATACCATGTATGTTAATCCATATGTAATAATAATTTACGATAATAATTTGTTACTCCAAATAAGCATTCACTCAGTTCATTAAGAAAAGAAGTACAAAAATAATTAGAACAAACAATACATACAAATATTAAAAAAAGTAAATAATACAGCAGTAATCTTTACACTTAATTGGTTTCCTTCTTTTTTTAAAATTTATTATAATAGGCAAACATTTTTACATACAGAACAAATTTTCACTTACAGAATATTAAGTAGATTTGACAATAATGAAGGATGTAAGAAAAACTAGTTACAATATTCAGTATCAATCATTATCATCATCGTTAACTGCAGATTAATAGGCCTTTTGCCTGTTCCTCCCCAGTAGGCTAGAAGACTTACACCTCCAGTTATTCCTGGATCATTCATATAAAGATATATCATATGTACAAAGATATAAAATTCCATTCAGTGATTTAATGTTTAATATATTACCATTTGTACTAATTCGAATACAGTAAAACTTGCACAGTGCAGAATCACAATGGACCAGTATTTTTTTCTGCATTAGAGAAGACATTACAAATAAAGTAAAATATTTGCCAGGACTGCAATTTGTGTTTACATTGGAGAAATTTTCGCAATATACATGTTCCCAAATGGGGCTAGTTATACTGCGATGCTGATTCCTCTACACAGGCAGTGTTTCTTGCCTCTTATTGGATAACAGTGGTGTGTAAACACCTGCTACACCTAACACTGGCTGTATTTGATAGATGGGGGAATACTCTGGAAATTTTTTAAAGACATAAAAATGTACAATTTTGTAGGTTATTGTATAAAAGAGTGGGCAGACTTTTTTGCAAATCTGCAACACTGACGAGTCTGTGTGCAACTTGCAACACACATACTTTGTCAACTGCAATCTATAAAATTAATCTGTTTATACTCTTCTAATACATCATTGAGAGATCAGATCTTGTAGATAAATTCACTATACATGTATATGTAGTCAGAAACTTGCAAAATCTTGAATGCGATGCAAAATTAAACTGATATTTGATATTCTGTGTGTTTTAATTGGATTTTTACATATCTTTATTGTTGTTTATGTTATGGCTTAACTCCAAAATACAGCTAATTATCCAGTTAATTCACTCATTTGCCAAACTTTTGGATGAAGCTGTATTCATTGATTATGAATATATCATTTCGGACACCATCGAGTTCATGTATTAACAATAGGACACTGCCTAAAGTAAGCTGATCTTCCAAGGGGCATTTTGGCATAAATATGCTTTGGAAATAATATGTTCCTCACTCTAATGGTTATTTTATGTGAACTGCAAAGGCCAGTGACAAGAGACTCGTCATGCCAACTCAGAAGTGCATTATGAAGCATCAGCTGAAATCAAATTAAGTTAGATTGTATTGTGTAAATATAAATGTACAACTTACACAGTGGCACTCAAAATGACACACTACGGCTCTCGGTGAGTTTAAAAACTTTACACCAGCTATGTGATTCCTATTTATCATTTAATACACGCATTTCCTCATCACCAAAATGTATTTCTTACTTCAAGCTCTGGCTATTGAACACTTAGGTCCTATCCTCTTTCTGTTATACGTAAACGATATGCTGTCATCTATTAAAAACTGAAGAATGATTCTATTTGCCAATGACATGAATGCTCTTTGCAAAAAAGAAACGATTTAGAAGTTTCATATTGGTTTTGTAATAACAAATTAATAGTAAATGAAGAAAAAACAGTTCCAATGCATTATTGCCTTTCAAATCAGCAATTGCATGCTCCATTGAAAATGAATAATATGCAGTTAGGTGATGTTCAGGTAACAAAATTTCTAGGTCTGTCAATTCAGTCCAACCTCAAATGGAATGTACATATAACAAAATTAAACACTAAATTAAGTTCATTATGTTACGCATTCAGAATTCTGTCAGCCTTCATGCAGCTCGTTGCTTGTATTTTACAAATGTACATTCACGCTTGAGATATGGTATAAAATTCTGGGGAAACTCATCATGTAGTACTCAGACCCTTAGATCGGAAATGAAAATTATTCGAATAATGAAAAAATGCCATCCGCATTACCCTTGCAAGCCTCTCTTCATTGAGCTTGGAATCTTACCACTGCCTTGCCTATATATTTATGAATCTGTAATATTTGTCAAAAGTGACTTTCTTAATGGTGGGAACATATTTTCATGCAATACCGATATTTATAATTACAACACAAGTCTTAAAAATCATGTTCATCAAGTGTCAGTGTCAATAGCTCACTATCGGAAATCCGTATACAATACATGTACGTTACTTTACAACGCACTGCCAGATGACATTCAACAATTGAAGTCGGTTCACAAATTTAAGTTAAAAGTAAAATCCTTTCTGCTGCATAACTGTTTCTATACAATTAGACTACTGATTATCAAACAGAAAAATCTTTGTTTTAACAAAACACTGATGTATAATGAATTAGTTTTACATTGGTATTGTATAATTTTTTAAAAGACTTAATAGGTTTGTAACAAATCTACTTCTGCTTCCAGGTCAATGACCCCCTTCTCAATCAGGTTTTTGTCCAGTTTCCCTGATCCATTGAGCAAATGCTGAGATGGCCCCTTGTTTTGCTTCTGAACATAAATGTAACTTCATTTTTGCGCACGTTTTGTTGAGCTCTCCTTTTGCTTGTAATGGTAAGAGTGGAGGTAAGGGTGAGTTGCTATTTTGTTAGCAATGCAGAAAAATCATACTTGCTATTTGTGTACTGGTGCAAATACGTTTTCTATAACTCAGAAACAAAAATGACTATTTTTCAAATATTGCTAATCTTGCAATTTTTAAAATTTATTTATGTTAAACTTTTACTCACCTTTCAACTATTGATAGTTAAAATGATGGGAAGTGATTCTGGAACTCAAGAAAATGTGCGCAGATAATCTTTTCCCCCCTACGTCACAAACAGTTTTTACTGTTTTTTTTTGGACTGAATAAATCTAAATCGAAGTCTTCAACTATTTAAAGACTGAAGGAACTTTTGAAGGTGTGTCTACTTCAGACTATGAATTTATGAATTATCAGATTTGGATATTAACCATACCTATATAACAAATGAAATCAATTGGGACGTTCTATTAGTTTAGGAGGTTTCAGCTTTTCGCGCGTGGGGGGGGTACCGCCTTTCTGTGCCAATTGGGGTTAGTTGTACAAAACTTGGTAACTTTTCACTTAAGTTGTCAACAATAGTCATACTCCTGACTAACGACTATACCCAAAATATTATTTTTGAGAAAAGTTCAATTATAAGATTGTAGCACTTGTAGTACATATGCTTTGTATGCAAACTTGAATAAAAAAGTTTCTGATATTATGTATCTTTGACAAAGTGCATATTAAGAAAATTGTAAAATACATATACATTTCAACATCAATTGGAAAATAACTGGATTTAAAAAAAACACTCCAGTGGGTGCTTTACATTATTTTGGGTCTTTAGTGTCGCTATTCAAAGTAATCTGACGATCCATCCTGTCATAAGAAAAATATGTTTAATCAACTATATTCTCTTTACCTTTTCTGCTGCTTAATATACTTCAGAATCGGTTGAGGTAACCATAAAGCTCAATCTGTGGAATAAGACTGGAAGCTTGCTGCTTAGCATAGTGTCCACTGAAGAGGGGATATTTACACATGTCTTACGGAAAAAAATCAGTCTGTTCCAAAAACAAATGGCCATTAATGGAGAGCACTTAATTGAGCTAGCTGAGTGAACAGGTTTCACTCTGCATTTAGTACAGTCAAATATGCAAAGGGGGTCCGGAAAGTAATGCATTTTTTGTGCAGGTATTTAAAATGGCTTCAGAACCTTCCCATAGGTTGAGTCTCTGCTTCAATGCAGTGCCAGTCTGCTCTGAGTAGGCGTCCAAATTGCTATAACCTTGTAATGCTGTTTAGTACCCGTGTCATGAAACGCAATAGAATCGTCACTCGAACAACATCATGCTGTAAAAGTTTGTTCGACATCCAACTAAATTCTTGCGAAGACCCACTAGTTTGTTCAAGCATAGGGGTCAGTGCTCGATTATATTCCTTGGTATCAAGGTGGCTGAAAGCGTTTAATTAAGGCTGGGAAGAGGTGGTCAAAAACCCCGCGCTGGACGGCTATTAAACAGCGCAACTGACAACAATTTGGCCCTTGAGGAAATCTGCCAAATCTGACTGTTGATCGAGTATTCATATGATTGCAGAAATTCAACATCCCCAATACAATTGTACACAAACTAGTGACAGACGAATTGAACACAAAGTGTGTGTGCAAAGTTCGTTCCCAAGCTGCAGACGGATGATCAGAAGAAACACTAGGTGACTATCGCGAGTGAACTTTGAGACATTGAACCCAATTTCTTGGACAATGTCATTACCGGGGATGAAACATGGTGTTTTGTGAATGACATAGAAACAAAACGTCAAAGCCCCGAGTGGCACACCTGAGCTTCGCCAAAACCAAAATATGCAAGAGCGAGCACGTTGAAAGTGAAAACATGTTGATAGTTTTTTCAATGCTGAAGGTGTGTTCCACAGAGAGTTCATCTCTAATAGTGAAACCATGAACATTACCCACTATGTTGTGCTGGAAAAAAACTGCGAAAAAAGGGTTGTCCAAGCGAGACAGGAGATTGCGGCTACCTGGAAGCTCCATCCCGAGAATGGTCCCAGCCACATCACAATGTGTGTTTGTATCAAGTGAAGCAACACTTCGCAACATTGCACCTACCCCCGTACATTGCGGACATAGCCT